TTTGACACTGTGCTCTCAAGCTTCCTTCTAGCCCTGCCAGAGACACACAGACACATCAACAGTCTGCAACAGGAAAAGGAGTTCTTGTCCCTTCACATAGAGTCATGGTGCAAATCTACTGATTATGATCACCACCCTTCCTGTGGGGATGTATGCCAGAGAGGTTATGAGCAAGGGCTTTGCAGTCTACCACACCCTGATTCAGGTCCTGGCCATCAGTGGTGATCGTGGGGAGGTCACAACTTCTATGAACTTTAGTGTACTAATCTGTAAAATGGGTATAATAATCAAACTTATCTTACGGGGTTGTTGTGAGGGTTTAAAACAATGTTATACATACATGAAGTCATTAGCATGTCAGGTCATAGTCAGTGGTCTATTATGATTATTATTAGTTATTATCATCATCATTGTCCACATCTGCCATGGTATGTAGTGGTTAAGGGCACAGGCTCTAAAGCTAGAGCCTGTGCCCTTAACGTTTGAATTCTGCTCCTCCACGTCCAAGCTGTGTGGCCTGTGTCTCACTTATGTCACCTATAAAATGGGAATAACAACTTTATCTACTTTGTAAGGATGTTGTTAGTTCATGTACAATGTTTAGAATTATACCACGTACATTATAAACACCCAATAACATTAGTTGTTATTACTATTTCTAATACTATGATCACCCAGGCTGCAAGTGCTTTAGAGTTGCATTGAGGGAATGGCAGGTTAAAGAGCTTCTGTAAAGCTCCACACGGTGGTGGTATAAGTGGTGACTGTGCCTGCCTGACTCACTCTCTGTGAGCATAATGGATGGACTGTGTTTTCCAAGAAGGGATGGAGGGGACACTCCCAGTTCTAAACAAATGGGGACATGCCACAGCCCAGATCTAAGGCTGGCAAACCACTAGGGCGATCTGTTTTTCAAGATCTGTTCTAAGGAGAAATGCTGCCCACAAAAAGATCATGCTTCATGCCAGATTAAACACTACAGACTTATTTAATAAGATAACTGACTGACCATGGAAGAAAAAAAAAAATCATTATTTTGAAATTGAGCTTTCACCGAAGGATCAAAGTGTTTTGACTAAGCATTTTGTGACACATACCTGTTACTCAGAGACTGGGATTTTAGGATTTAAAGATTCACAGTCAGTTCAGAATGCTGCCTTCTCAAAAGATTATTGAGTTTTCTAGCAAAATTCACATGCGACAGTGATGGTCGGCAGTAAAAAAGACCAACTTCCCAAGTCTAGTCAACACCATGTCTTGACGTATGCTATGTGCAGCCTAGGATACGAAAGGCTATCTAGAGTCTGTTCCAGTGACAAACGACGAAGTGCTGCTTCGACTATTAGCTACGATCTTTCTTCCACACTATTGTGTCTGACAGATCCATGGAAACATAGAAGCACAAAATAGATTTCTTCAGTTTCCTGTTTCTCACGTTCTCATGCTGGTTAGGAAAAAGAGGAGCCCAGGGGAGTATTTTCAAACCTAAAAATAAATGCAAACCTGCACTGCTGGTGGATGCTGGGAGATGTCAGTAGCTAAAACATTCCTAGAGGCCAAAATCATGCATGTTGCGGCATGTTTGGAATGAGAGAGAAATAATAATAAATATCAGGTAATCATTATAGAGGGTCATATGAGTTAAGAACTATACTGGGTTTAAATGCATTATCATTTAGTTTTCACAAAAACCCTACAAAGGACGTACTATTATTCACTAAATTCCAAGGATGAGGAAATGGAGCCATACAGAATTTAAGTGACTTGCTCAAGATCACACAGTTCCTACATGATGAAGACTGGAGTTGAACCCAGGGAGTGACTCCAGAACTGGTACTCCAAACCATTAATAAATCAAGAGTCTGAAAAGCCAGCGTTCCTGTGAGTACTTCCAAAGGCACTAACGATGGGATTAAAATTGTGCCCATCCTAACAACTCACATTTGTTGTCTGTGCTGTCCAACAAGATAGCTGCTAGCTACACGTGGCTATTGAAATTTAGATTAAAATAAAATTTAAAATTCAACCCATTGCTGCTGAGCACTTAAAATGTAGCTAGTGTAGCTGATGAACTGAAAATTTAATTTCATTTAGTTTTTATTTATTCAAATTTCAACATTCACATGTGGCTGTGGCTACCATATTGGACAGTGCTGCTCTGAGGAATTTTTCTTTGCTATATCAGACGTGGTTCAGGGCTGCTTTCAAAAATCTCAGAGACAGAGGGGCATTAGTTGTTTTGCCCAAGGAGCCATAGAAAATCATGGGGCTAAATTCCCTGCCTCTTCCTTAGGATCAGACTGTATGTTCTTCAGATGTACCCATGTGGCCTTTCCAACATTTCCCGACCCCCATATTTCCTCATAAGTCATAACGTGAGGACAATACAATCAGAACAGACAAAACCCAGGAACAACTGTCCTCAGACAATGCTTGTATTGGTATCAGCAGGGAGCTAGTTAAAATGCACGTTCCTGAGCGCCACCTCTATAGGGTCTGATGCAGGGAGTCTGGGGGAGGCCCTGGAGTCCCTATTTTAATCAAGTAGCCAAAGAGTCTAATGCAGGTGGTCTAGCTTCGAGTAAATGCTTCAGAGACTGAAATACTTATTTCTCTTCTGGCCTCTTAAATAATTATAGCACATAAATCTTTTGAGAATAGCACAAACTGGGCTGGAAGCCAGGCAGTCATCACTCTGCACTAATTGCTCACTTCTATGACATTAGGCAAGGTGCTTAGTCACCAAGGCCTCATTTTTAAAATCTGAAACATGGGGGTAAAGATATCTGCCATTTGTCCTCTTGGACACATGAGAACACAGATGTGAAAGTATTTGAGGGGGATACAAGTTAACACACTGTATAGACATCCTGCAACTCAGAGACATGTTGTGCTTGTTAGCAGAGAGTTTAAATAGATTTCACACTTAAAAAAACCCACATTTTTAACTTGTCTGAAACAAGTGGAAGATTTGACAGCATGGGACTCATATCAGATTGGATAGTCTGGAGTGATTTAGAGCATTGCTCTGAGGTCATATGCACAGGTTTGAATCCCTGCTCCACCTTTTAAAACCTGGGTCAAGTCCTTCAGCCTCTCTGAGCCTCAGTTTCTTCAACTCTGAAATGAGAATTTTAATAGTCTATCTCTTTCTTAGGGTTGTGGGAATTCAATTAAGTGAGTTAATATTTATAAAGTGCTTAGAACAATGTTTAGCACATGGTAAGAACGATATAATTGTTAATTGAATAAATAAAACCCCTGCACGTGGCAACAAGCAGCTGACACTGAGAAGTGGCTGTCCCCTCCAGATGGGACTGGCATGCACCAGTTTATCACGGTCTCTACCCAGATACATTTGACTCTGGGATCCCTGCTGTATGGGGTAGATGTGGGGGCTGGACCCCCGTAAGTGGCAGATACATTTAGTGTATCTTAGAGCAGTACTTCTCAAGCTATCCATGGTGAAGGATCAGTTTTTTTCTTTTCAATCCATTGTGCATTGATATGTGGCCTTCCTGCACATGACTGATACACAGCACATGCTACATACAACTCACTCATGCATCCTACAGCATCCTCACTGGTCTGTACTGGACCAAAAAATGAGCCCAATGAACATGCACTTGGCTATTGCAGCAATTTCAAATTGCTCTAAAAAGTTTCTAAACATTATCATTTCAGTACTTATCTCACTGAGGACTGTGGCCAGCCCTGATCCTCAGACTACACTTTGAGTAGTGCCATCTTAGAGAACATCATCAGTCTCCACATACACACAAACCAGCTGGACAATTTGATTGGTAAGAGCAGCCATGGGATTCTCCCTCTCCCTCTCTCTCCACTTCAGCCTTTTTCAGCCTGCTAGCCTTCTTCTCTATCCACGTTTCTTTTGTCTTTATCTGCACATTAAAAACATCTCCCTAGTGAGATACTGGGCTCAGAATAGCCTTGGAAGCTGTTGTGGATGCTCTGGTGTCCCAGGCAGCTCCAGATTTTGTAAGTACTGCCTCCAGCTCACAGCTGCCCTTTCTCCTGAATGTTACCTTTGGTCGACAGGAGTTGCCTTGCTTCACCCACATCCACAACCTCCTCTCAAGTTGCACTCTAGTGACCCACAGCCGATGACTGACATGGTGACACAAAATGTCAGCCCCTTTATCAAAAGAGGGAACCATCTGTATGGTGCAACATCCTCCAGAGTCCCCCGTGGGGTCAGGCTGGAGCTGGACTTGGGTCCAAACATCATTCTTTGCTTGGCTCCTCCCCCTGCCCCACCACCCTGGTTCTCTCACTCCCCCTCCCTGAAAG